AGTGACAAAACTGGGGTTGTCCTCCCATCCCCAGGGGGGAGCATGGCAGCTGCTCCTGGCACTTCGGGGTCTGCGAAACTTCCCACCAACCTGCTGGGTTTTGCAGCGCCAAGGGATTTGCACGAGCCCCTTTCGCAGTGGATTCGGCTCCCTCGGTGCTGCCACAGCGTCCAACGCGGGGCTGGGGGTCCGCCCCGCCGGGAGCATCCTCCCGCATGCCGGGCCTCGCTGCGAAACTCATCCTGGGCTGGGCGATGAGGGACTGATCCTGGCTTTTCCGAGGCGAGGGCAAGGCAGGCGATTGGAAAGGAGCCTCCGGAGCGCCCTGTCGGAGGGAGGGGAGCTGAGCCGAGCCGAGCTGCCTGGCAGGGAGCAGGCAGCAGGCAGGTTCTCCCGGTTTTGCCTGCCCGCGTAACCCCACCCAGCGCAGGCGGTGACTCACGGCTCCAGCACACAGGGAAGGATGGGACCCAGCTGTCAGCACGGCCGAGGGGTGCAAAGCGCATTTAGCCCAAGCGAGAATCAAGTCGCCCCTCCTCCGGTTTGCCACCAAACGGTACCAGACTTGTCCCATTTTTCTGTTCACCCCTCCGGTCCTCTTGTCCCATGAAGCGGGACGTGATGTTTGCAGGGGCAGCAGAGAGATCTCGGGGGGTGGCTGACATCTCAGACCCACCTTCGCGCTGGTGTAATGGGTGCAGATGGCTCTCGGCCACCCCAAGATGTTTCTGGGCTGCAGGGTGAACCACGTGCGTGTACCGAGGTATCTGCACAGGGCGGTCGCAAACGAGGTGGCCAGGAGCCACTGCAAAGGGTGGTGGGGGCCAAGTCAGGCAAGGACGGCTTTACCTGTCACTAGCACAAGCAGCAACCGCTCATGCTCTCCGCTGGAGATCTCCAAGAGAGATCCAAGGCCAGATCCACCACGGTTCCAGAGACATGTAGGTGGAGCAAGGCTGATTTATATCGGCTGAAGCCTTCAGCTCCCCAAAACCTGTTAGAGCAGAGGGTGTCTGAGCCCCCTCGGGGGGACCAGCAGGCAGGAGGGTGGCTGCCTGCCCTCAACGCCTCCAGACCCGTCCTTCTGCCTCTTCTCCGCCAGGTTTCCGGGATGTCCACCTCCAAGCTCTCCTCGGCTTCGGGTTCCTGGTGGCCTTCCTCGGCCGCTATGGGCCGGGCAGCGTGGCCATCAGCATCCTCGTCGTGGCCTTCGCCATCCAGTGGGCCGTACTGATCCAGGGGTTTTCATACTTCTTCCTGAATGGCAAAATTTATGTGGGAGCTCAGAGGTAAGGCAGGAGGGAGCTGCTGCCGCCCAGCCATGATCGTCCCAGGTCCAGCCCTGGCACACTGGCTCCCTCCTCTGTAAAACTCACAGCTCTGCTTTGGAGGAGGATTATGAGGACCAGGCTTCTGGGTTATTTGAGTACCACACTAGTAGGGGCCATGTAAGTACTGCCAACGTTACAGCCAGGCATTTAGGGGGGGCACACTGGCCCCCGCCTGCCTCAAGCTCAGCTGTCCCTTTGTCACCAGCATCGCAAGGCTCGGGCTGCCCGTCCAGCTTGCAGGAGCGGTGGGACGCAGGGTCCGGGCTGCAGGCTCAGCTCCCGTCCCCCCGAGCCCTGCTCTCTCCAGCTCCTGCGCTCGCCCCCTGGCAGCGCCGGGTCCAGCCCCATGCCTTCCCTCTCCTTCCCAGCATGGTCAGTGCCGACTTCTGCACCGCAGCCATTCTGATCTCCACCGGAGCCGTTCTGGGCAGGGTAAACCCTGTCCAGATGCTGCTTCTGACCCTTCTGGGAGTCACCCTCTTCACTCTCAACGAATACATCCTGCTCAGTCTCATGGGGGTGAGTCACCGATCGGGGGGGCCCACCAGAAAAGGGGTGATGGTCACCCCATCACCCCAGGGTTTAGGCTCCTCGTGTCAAGACCTGCCTTGTCTGTAGAGACAAATCCCATATCCTCCCTTTCCTGCACGGTGTTTTTCTGTACTGACCAGGTAAGCGACAGCGGGGGCTCCTTGACTGTCCACACCTTCGGTGCTTATTTTGGCTTGATGGTTTCACGGATCTTGCACCAGCCCCATATGGACAAGAGGAAAGAGCAGCAGGACGCGGGGCACCAGCCAGATGTCTTTGCTGTGGTTGGTACGGAGCTCGAATCCTACAACACTGGAGTCATAGACATGGTGGTGGAAGGACCATCACCAACAGGTCATTAGGACAGTGCGGCTGTGGCTTTGACCAGCAGAGTCCTGCAAACCATCAAGGACAGAGGTTCTCCACCTTCCTGGGGACCTGTCCTGGGGCTGCACCACCCTCTCCAGAAAAACGCTTTTCCTCATGTCCAACCTGACCCTCCCACGCCGCAAGCTGTGGCCACTTGCATCTCTTGGCACTAGCAAGAAGTTTCTTTCCCACGAGGGATCAACCCCAACATCAAAACCTGCCTGTTCCTCTTCCCCGCAGGAACCATCTACCTGTGGATCTTCTGGCCCAGCTTCACCTCAGCCACCACTGTCCATGACAACGCCGAGCCTTGGGCAGTGCTCAACACCTACTTCTCGCTGGTGGCGAGCACCCTGGCCACCTTCGTCCTCTCGCCTGTCCTCTATGAGGAGAGCACCCTGCGGATGGTAGGTCCTCTCCTGGCACAATCCCAAGTCTCATGCCCTGCCCATGTCCCATTCTACAGGGACAGCGAGCATGAATACACCCGGGGCAAAAGGGGACGCCTGTGAGGCTTTCTTAGCTTCATTAAGACTCAGTTTGATCCCCAAGGAAGCCCAAATCCCCCCCAGCCCCATGCTGATGTCCTCCATGGAGCCAATTCCCCCAACCATGTCCTGCTCCATCAGGTTCAGATCCAGGATGCCACCTTGGCCGGCGTGGCTGTGATGGGTATGGCTGGGGAGATGCTGGTCACCCCCTTCGGGGCCCTCATCGTGGGGTTTCTGGCCGGCCTGATCCCCCCGCTTGGCTTCAGATTCCTCACGGTGAGTCTCCTCGGGACAGCTGAGGACACCAGTCCCAGGTCAGGGGACCACCCCCCTTTGGGGGAGGCTGCATTGCCAACCTGCAGCTCCCAAACCTGCAAACACTGAGCCGCAAGCGCAGCCTCCCTGTGGGCAAGCATCCCCCCGTCCGAACCCCGGCTCTTTCTTAACGCTCTCCCCAGCCCGTCCTGTGCTCCAGGCTGAAAATCCAGGACACGTGCGGGGTTCACAACGTCCACGGGCTGCCGGGCATCCTGGGCGCCTTGCTGGGGATGCTGCTGACGGCACTGGCCACTGCAGATGCTTACGGTGGCAGGTGAGAAGAGCCAGAATCAGGGGTGCCAGTGACTCCATGCACCAAGCTGGGGCCACCACGACCCCTGAAATCGGGGATGCTCCATGCACCCTCTGTTACAGCACCCCCTTATAGCACATCACCCAGAGCCGTAAGCGGAGTCCCCCGTTTCCCTGCCTGGGAGGACAAGCTCCCCAAAAACCCGTCCCCGCTCCGGCTTGCAGGCTGGAGCTCGCGGTCC